ACGATGAATATCCAATAATGCTTCGCGCTAATCATAATACGCTAAGGATTATCCTTGCTACGCGCGTTGGAAAGCGGGCGATACTTGAATATGAGTTTTCGCTCTTGGGATCTATACGAATTTCCTCTATTGAATTTCCTCTATTGCACAATCAAGTATGAGGAGAATACTCGACTGTGATTAGTCAATTTCTTAAGGCTTAGGTCTTAAATCACCTATTGTAGACCGGCACTAAGATATCCTAAACTAATCACAGAGCCATATTATTGTAGACCGGCACTAACCGGACTTTGTGAAATTGGCCCTAAATCACCTATTGTAGACCGGCACTTACCCCCACTCCTTAAATAAAGGCAAACGCTCGGTCTAGATATACTATGTCTATGGGTCCGGCTAACTTTACGAAGCCATTAATGCCGGTCTACAATAGGTGATTTAAGCCCTAAGCCTTAAGAGATTGACTAATCACAGTCGAGTATTCTCCTCATACTTGATTGTGATTGGTCAATTTCTTAAGGCTTAGGGCTTAAATCACATATTGTAGACCGGCACTAACCGGACTTTGTGAAATTGGCCCTAAATCACCTATTGTAGACCGGCACTTAAGAAATTGACTAATCACAGTCGAGTATTCTCCTCATACTTGATTGTGATTGGTCAATTTCTTAAGGCTTAGGGCTTAAATCACCTATTGTAGACCAGCACTTAGTGCCGGTCTACAATAGTGATTTAAGCTCTAAGCCTTAAGAAATTGACTAATCACAGTCGAGTATTCTCCTCATACTTGATCGTGATTGGTCAATTTCTTAAGGCTTAGAGCTTAAATCACTATTGTAGACCGACACTTAACCGACGGTTAAAATTAGCAGGGTGGCCAACAGAAAATAGAGATGAAGGAAAACCAAGCATTCATATAATTTCAGTTGGAACCCTGCTAATTTTAACCGTCGGTTAATCTAACCGGACTTGGTGAAATTGGCCCTAACACAGGAGCAGTTTCAAAACACGCACATTTCGACAATAAACAATAAACATACATCTACTTAGATTGTTGTGTTATCAGCATTTATTTTAATATGTAAAAACGACTTTTATCAGTTTTTTTCAATTTTGTTGATAAATTCGTAATTTTATTGCATGTTGTACAATATATTTTGCAATTTTGATTCAATATAACTTTCAAGATCGAGCTACATTTTCATATTTAGATGAAAGATGATATTAAGCCGTAAACGACCACTTCGAACTTACGAGAGAAAAACTGCTAAGAAGCTTTTCACAAATTCGCTACTATCTCCTGTTATATTGATTAGAAAATATAACCCTGTGGAAAATGATAGCTCCAATGATAATGAAATATGCAACAATTCCCTAAATGATGATCCATTCGAAACAACATTCGACAGAATTGCCAAGGGAGCAGTGTAAGAAAATCCTGAATATCAAACGAATGCCTACTTGGACTTGTATCTTTGACTTAATGCAAGTATATATACTTAATTTTCAATTTACATTCTCTAATTTACAGAGTGCCTCCTATACCACTGGATACAAATCAAAATAATACATGGAAAGGTAGCAGTAGTGACAGCGATATCAACAATTCAACAAATGTTGTAAAATCACATGAGCATACAGCCTTTGATTTTTTCACATGCGATGGCTTAAATACATTTGGCTCATCACATAGTGATATACCTAAGTTAACACATAGGAGCATTAAAATTACTCGTAAACACAAAAGACTACAAAGAAATGAGTCAAAAGTTGTGGTTTCTAAAAGAAAAATATCTAAGAAAGCAACAACAATACTAAAACATAAAACACAGGTAAGAAAAACAGGTATAAACAGTTTATATAAGAATAAACAATCTGATTAGTTCCTATTAATATGTAATAACAAATAGGAGCAGAAGAAACAAGGAAATAAGAAACAAATGAAAAAAACGCAATCTGAGTCTAAAAAATCTAGTCGTACGTGCAATGAACAGACATCTCGTATGTATTCTAGTGATGTAAATAATTTGGAGGATACTACATGCAAAAGTGATACTTCACACAATAATAGCAATAAGCATCTGCATAAAAGTGTTTTAAAGATCAAAAATATATCGCAAACTGAATTGATTAAAACTAACAACTCCATTGCAGCTTTTAAATATATTTTAAATTGCCATCAGAATATCAAACCGTGTTTTGTTGCGTTAGATGCTTGCACTGTTCAGAATTATATACTGAATCGTGAGAAAGCTGTGGGAGCTAAACAACATATATTTTGTGATGCAAAATTTGTGTGTACAGATACTTCACACACTAAAAAAAATATTTCTAAAGGACATAATGCTATTTTGCAACCAAACTCGATTGAATATGACACTATCATTGGAAGATTCAAACATTTGTCGATTAAAGAATGCTTTGTAGTATTGCACGATGATATTATCAAGAATCGGGTATCAAAGACTGAAAAAAGTGTAAATGATTCTGTTGACGCGAAAAATAAGTCAAATGTACCACATTTAACTCTTCGTAATTTGTCTACTTCTTATAATACCAGTAGCACTAAACTTGTGCTATATGATACAAAAAGGAATGGTAGAGAGCGAATAAAAGATAGCGTCGTAAAGATGGAAAGATTAAAAGTAGAGGAATTTGTAAAGAAAGACAATATGGTATTTAATGAAAGAGAGCAATACATAATTTCTAGCACTCCTATCAACAAACGCATAAAATCTGACGCCTGTTCAGCATCTTTCTCTCCTATCAATATCAATATTCGTGACGCGCTATATCCGAAATACGAATGTTCAATTCCAAATGTGGAAGAAGAGGATTTCTCCATTGTACTTCCCAATCAAAAAAATTCTCCTTCGTTGATTATGCCGTCGAAGTACAGTTTCGACATCGTAGATATACACGAACATCCGACACAAGTTGTGCAATCCTCCCAGAAGACGCAAACCAGAGATTCTGTTTTAAAAATCGAAGCTTCCTCCTCCGAGGACATTCATACATTGTCTACGCAGAAGTATAACATAGAAAGCGATGTAATGGAAGAACCTCCGCATTTCTTGAATATTTTGTCCATCGCAGATAGCGATCCATCGTTATTCAGCGATACAACACATGATTATTCGTCGAAGAATACAGAGGAATGTAAAGTGCAAAAGATACATTTAACAAATACATCGACATGTGATGAAATTGCACATGCGACGGATTCGTTCGTTGATCTCCAAGAACAAGAGCAAATAAACGGTAATACAAATACGAAGATTGAAGCTGTTAACAATGAGAAAGGCAGCTGTCTTAGCGAAAGTCTAGATAATGTCAACAACACCGCGTTGCTCGCGCGATTGCAGGATTCGATCAGAATTACAGGAAGGAGAATGCGATATCCCAAATGGCATCTCAGCATTCAGTTAAATATTTCCAAAAACTCGAATGACGAAGCCACAGAAGCGAATAGCAAGGTATTCTATCGCGACGCAATCGATGAAATTCGCGACATCCAATCGGAGATGTATAATTTCGAACGTTCTGCGAATGCAGTAAAGAAATCCTTCGATCACGTCGAACTATTTGTTGACTCCGCACAATCGCACGATAATGCGAATAAACGAATCGAAAAGTCCGTTTTTCTAAAACCAGGCAAATATTGGGCTAGATCTTTATCGATATTGAATCGCATAAACGACATATCTAATTTAGACAAATTGAGCCTCGGAAAAGGAAAGAGATGGAGACATAGCGTCAAAGATATACTGGATATGCAGAAACAAGGTAATTTTGCGCCGAGAGGTAACATTGACAATGAAACGTCTGTATAAATTATTGGAAGCTGTTACATTTCGATAAAACTGTGTAACTTATAGAAACATATTCTACTTATTTCGTGCAAATTTTCAGTTACTTTCGTAATAAGCCGCAGTCATATTAGGCGATTTTTGGCGATCGTTTGGTACATGTACCAATGTGTACCAGAATGTTTTTGCGCGGTTAGTAATTTGTGGTAGAGGCGTGACTAGCCATTTTGGTATCTACCTGGTTGATACCACGCTATACCGAGCAGTGAAGCAGGGTATATGTTGTTAGTTACTGGTAAAAGTTGCAAATACGCGCCAAATATAATACTATGCTTTTTACATATCAATGTGTTAAATTTATTTTTGTATTTAATATGCTTTGAAGCTCATATCTCTATATAACAGTAAAAATTATCTTTGGCGCGTATAGAAAAGAACCAATATGTTTTAGTGAAATAGCTGCTGGTACATGTATCAGAATAAACTCCACCCCTACCAATGACAACCCTGGTACATGTACCAAATAATCGCCAAAAATCACCTATTTATATTATTTATCTGCGTGAAACAACTGAAGGTAATCTCTATTGAACAGACTTTCGTTTAAGAAGCGCTAACCAAGATAATACTTCATAAACGGACGCTGTCGGATCTTTCATATATAATTTTTTAATATTTAATA